TGAGAAACAGCATTTTGAAGTGAAACAAGCTCTAGACTAAAGATAGAAGTTCTATTTCTGTTTTTGTCCCTAATTAATGTGTAACCCACTCCTCAGACCCTCTGGGCCTCTGCTTTCTCAATCTGATACATAAAGGGGAACAGGTAGAGTGTGTGATATCTAATGTCCCTACCAACTGTAATGTATTATGAAAATTATTAGTTTTTCTCTTCAATCAACAAACTCAGATACTCTATGCATCCTATCAGCATCGCTCAAATCTGGCCTTAAAAATGTTTAGAACAGCATATAAAATGTTCCCCCAGTCTGGATGTTATTTCAGGTATTCATTCATTTCCATATATTTATTGAGCAGTGTGCCAGACACTGTTCTTCGCACAGGGGATTGCACGTGGGCCAGAACAGATCACATCTCTTCTCTCATGGGGCAAATACTGTTCTATTGAAGAACAAATCAGCCTGTGTTAACATGAAATGTAATTGTCAGAATTCTGAAGTTATTTTTCCCTTCTTCACAACATCCCACATTTGCATTCTAACAGATATAACAGAGAAGATGGGAATGGAAAGGAAGGACTGAAAACCTGACTAAAATGAAGTTTTTAAAATAATAATCTTAAAAGGAGAGGCAAATTCTGATAAATCATCCATTCCCCTGAATGATTAAAGGTCATTAGTTCCTTACTCTAGTTGTTTCCAAATATTTGTGTTTAAGGGACATTTTGAAAATTAAAATTTCTGTGGCAGAGTGAAGATTATTCTTCACAGTTACAGAACTATTAAGTTGAAAGCACTTTAGAAGAGGTCTGCAGAGTCCAGTCCTCAGGCCAAATCTGACACTTTGCCTCTCTTTGTAAATAAAGTTTTATTGGAACACACCCATACCCATACCAATTCCAAATCTTGTAAGTATTGTCTATGGCAACTTTCATCCTAAAATGACAGGGTTGAATATTTGCAACTTTATATCCCACAAAGCCTAAAAGATTTAATATTTACCAGTTGGTTCTTTACAGGAAAAGTTAGCTAATCCCTGTTCATTAGCAGTGAGATTTTGTTTGAATACAACTGTTAACTGCCTTGTATTACTGCTATAAACAACTACCTGAGACTGGGTAATTTATAAGGAAACAAGGTTTAATTGACTCACAGTTCTGTGTGACTAGGGAAGCCTCAGGAAATGTACAATCATGGCAGAAGGTGAAGAGGAAGCAAGGCACATCTTACATGGTGGCAGGAGAGAGAGAAAGCAAGGGGAAAGCTGCCACACACTTTTAAACTATCAGATCTCATGAGAACTCATTACTAAACAGCATTAGGGCAATGGTGCTAAACCATTAGAAACCACTCCCATGATCCAATAACCTCCCCCCAGCCCTACCTTCAACATGTGGGGATTACAATTAGGAGATTTGGGTGGGGACATAGAACCAAACCATATCATGCCCTGATGGTGTACTCAGACACACTAGAGGGGCGCACTTCCTTGCCTAGAAACAGCTGGACGTTATGCTAGGACTCTTCTTCCTTGTAGCAACACCAAGCTGGATGACCCACTCATTTATTTTACTGGCAGACATCACTTTAATAGTATGTAGACAAAACAAATTTTGTACATTAATCAAAATTTTGGCTACTGACTCTGGATGACTGCCAGGCCACGAGAAAAATGGCCCTCAGCTATTCATCTTGTCCTTTACACTAGTGGACTGCCAATATTTCTGTTCACATAGCTCTGAAAGGGTTTTGAAAAACAATATCCCTTCATATATTTTTATATTGACATGTAAACATTTTTATATATTTAAATAGTTACAGATGTAACTTCTATCAGTTTATAAAACAAGACATTTTAAGATGAAATGGTTGTATCTCTTTTCTACATGTATCCAAAGAAATGAAAATGCCATAGCAATTCCATATCACCTTTATCCATGTCGTGGATGCAGTGGGGTGCCACGCTGATAGTCTCTTCACAGTGGACACGATCGGCCTCCAGCAGCCTGGGGTAGGGTATGCTATCTGAGTTTCTCCACAGGAATTGCTTTTGACTGAAGGGATCACCCAGTCCAAGATTATGCTTGCTCCTGAGTAGGAAGCCAACATCAAGCGACTGTCCTATTGTGGGGACTTAGAGGCCTGGTCTCTCATCTGCATTTGGCCATCCCACCTTGAGAGCTCCCCTTTGAGGAGTTGCGCCTCTGTGGCAACTACATCTCTATCTATCTTGTATCTTGGCCCATTTCTGCTTTTTCAGTTCTCCACAGTGTTGTTTCCAGGGCATGCCCCAATAAACCTTCTGCACACAAACCTCTAACCCAGAGTGTTTTGGAGGAACCTGACCTAAGACATCCATTTTCAAAAGTACGTGGCTAAGCTCTTCTTTAGTGTTAGAAAGTCTCATGTTTTTTATTTTCTTAAACTTACATTTCCATTCCACTTTGCCCACAGATTTGTATGCTACTTCAGTATATTTTTATACTTAAAAGTCTTTTACTTCTCAGCCTGTCATAATTATCTGCCATTAAATTATTACGTAAATTAAATTTTAATTTAAAAAATTTCTTGTGACCATAAGACTCTATGTGCTAAATTTCGCCTGGACTGAGCTATCATTGCAATTATTAGTAATACACATTTGATCAAAACAACATTCATACCATAAATTTTGGCAAATATTACACATAAAAAGTAAAAGTAAAAATGCATCTAAGATAGTGATTTCTATTTTTAATTTGTTTGTATGTCTGTGAGCAAATATTATTTACTGCTGAAATAACAGTGTTCAACATCAGTTCTATTCCACTTTTGGTTTCATTTTCATAGATATAAAAATATAGTAATTATGCATGCCACATAAATAAGTGGATGGGAATGGAAGTCACTTTGTTATATTGTACAACAATGCTCCGATTTGAACTCCTTCTGATTTGGCAAAATTTACAGGCTGATAATATACCAAAAATATTTCAATGATTTATCAGTTGGCAATTCAATCACATCCTCATTTAATTTTGTTGTAAACAAAGAGTTGAAAACCACCCGATTTGCAGAAAGATTTGTTACCCGGTCATTTCCAGGAAGGAAAGTCCTTCCCCTATGCTATATTTCACATTGTTCCTTTGTCTGATTTGTGTCTTTCTAGGAGTCATTGCATCACAGTAAACTTGGTAAGTGAATGAAGAGTTGGTCTCTATTGTGAAAAGACGTGGGGGTCTGACAAAAACTTTGACTGCAGGCTAGTTCTCAAGTCCATTTTAAGATAAAGTGCATATGGAGGTTAAGCATCTGCAAACTAGCCTTGCCAGTGAATCCCATGAAAAGTTTCATCTTCCCTGGGAGGTACATTTACACCAGTTTGAAAGTCTCTGTGTCTCATTAGCACCAATCTCCTGAACAACTGTGAGATTTCTCGCATAATTTATGGTTCCCTAATATAATATTTAATTATAAATAGATATTTAATAAAGACCAGGAAACATATGACAAAGCAGCAAGACTTAGACACCAGCTTCTCTGTCCCAAGAATGTTCTGTGTACTGCATTTTCCCTAATTAAAAATGAGGGTATTTCAACTTTCCAAAATACTGTTGAGTCCCACAGATTATTAAATAGCTTGAGCCTTCTGGAAAAAATTACAAAAGGCATGTGCATTCTCAAATTTCAGCATTTTATCTTACAGATTTAGTTTCCAGTTATTTTGAAGAGCTTAGTTTCCCTGTCACAGGGTATGCTATTAGCATAAAGAACAAAAAAGTAAAGGAAAAAAAAGAGGGGTGAATTTGAGAGCAACTTTTAAAGAATTCCAGCTGTATTTATTCCTTGTTCTTTTGTACCTCTTGCTGCTGGCCATGGTGTCAGGAACTTATTTTTTAAATGACATAATCAAATGGTACAGAAAACAGAGAGGAAATATTACCCAAGGTCAGAAGCGGCCTCTTCTGGGCTGTCCTTGAGTCTGTTGGAATATTTCACTTACTAGATGAATCTTCCTTAAGGCTTTCTTTTCTTTTCTCAAACAATCATTTTTCCAAAGGCAATAATTCTGGCAAAATTACTGATCTTAGAAGGATTAAGGAACTCAACTGTACTTTAACTTTACAACACTCTTAGAAAAGGCTTAACTCAAGAAGTTCAAGCAGAAAACCTAATTCTACCTACATTTCCTTTGATTGCCTATTTTTCTTTTGAACTATTTTAATAATCTCTTTTGTTCTTTGATTGACATTAGCTGGAAATATAACTGCCTTCTCACTGATAGAGGATATATTGAGGAAGTTTAAATTTTTCCCTTCTACAAGTAAACAAAAACATGTAGATGTTCACATATAGTATCTTAGTATCTATTTAAGATACCTCTTCTTAGAAGTCGTGTATATAAGAAAAAGTCCAGGGCCGGGCACGGTGGCTCAAGCCTGTAATCCCAGCACTTTGGGAGGCCGAGACGGGCGGATCACGAGGTCAGGAGATCGAGACCATCCTGGCTAACACGGTGAAACCCCGTCTCTACTAAAAAATACAAAAAACTAGCCGGGCGAGGTGGTGGGTGCCTGTAGTCCCAGCTACTCTGGAGGCTGAGGCAGGAGAATGGCGTAAACCCGGGAGGCGGAGCTTGTAGTGAGCCGAGATCCGGCCACTGCACTCCAGCCTGGGCGACAGAGCAAGACTCCGTCTCAAAAAAAAAAAAAAAAAAAAAAAAGAAAAAGTCCAAATTTTCTGTCAGATGACCTGAGATTGACTGATTTTTAGACAAGCCATTTAACTTTATTGAGCTTTTGTTCAGTTACCTAAAAAATGGTGATAGGCGATAACAATTTTTCTCCCTGACATTATCTCATGTGAGTGTAGACAGTCAGTATAAATACACCATATACTGTACGCAAAAATACAGCCCAGTGAAACTAATTCTTTCTTCTCTGCTCTGTGGAGTTCAAATATTGTAAGGGAAGAACACAGAGATTTTAAAAGTTGAATCTTATTTACAAAGAACCATTCACATGTATCTGTAAACGTATGATTGATTTATGTTTTAATAATGAAGAAACAGGAAACAAATCATTTCAGGTGAACATACAAGTAATTTTATCAACATAGCATTTGCAGAGAAAGAATTAACTTATTCAAAATATCACAATACTGAATTTCACAGTCAAATTCACATGCAGATTGTAGAATTATGTTACGGGATGTTTTGATGGAGTATGTTAAATATAAAAGTAATCCAAAGCAATTACCACTTAGCACATTGTACAAAACTAATTTTTCAAAGGGATTAATAAGTTTACTATCTTTCCCATAAGGTGCGATGTATTCAAAGTGCTCTGTAGCACTGAGGTTGAAATCAGGAAACAAATACTGTTAGAGGTCCACAGTAATACAGTTCAGTAATAAATGAACTTGAATATAATGTAGTTGAAATCTACTCGTAAAACTTTAAGACAGATGATGGAGATTTATGATGTGCAGTGAGTAATATCCTTTAATAGGGAGTAGGGTAGAGGGACTTCGTGCATGTATCCATAAAATCATAATAAAAATAAGTTTAAGATTGACTTCACCACTTTTATATTGAGTGCCATTTACTAGAGAAAGAGACAGATAAATGAGAAGACAGGAAAAGATAGACACAGAGAGGCAAAGAAAGAAAGTTCAAAATGCCTCTGTAGTTGGCTTTCCAACTGAGACTAATCCTCAATACAATCAATAGTCCATGACAGCAGTTTTCAGACATCAGTGTACATCAGTATTACCTGGAGGACTTGTTAAGCTATGGGTTACTGGACCCAACCAAGAGTTTCTAATTTAGTAGGTAGGAGACAGAGGCTGGGAACAATTTCCAGGTAATGCTGGTGTGCTGATCCTTCTGATCAAGGGACCAGTCTACTATCTGGCCCAGTGTATTTTTGATCATTGAATGACTCCATTACACATTAAAATGGAAAATACTTCTTATGATAATATGACTGGTCCCTAGGGACCTTGAGTGTAGTGTGGCCAGCATGGATTATATGATGATTTAGAGCAGTGGTTCTCAACCTTGGCTACATAGAAGAATCAAGTGAAAAGTTAAAAATAGATATACTGATGCATAGATCCATCTAAAACGAATTAAATCTGAATCTCTGGGGTGGGGAAAAGGGTTGAGTCATTTATAAAAGTATCCTATGAAAATCTAATGTATATTCTGGCTGGAAAATCACTGCTTAAGGAAATTTTTTTTACCTTCTTACATAGAGAAATGGTAGATAAATACATGCCCTCTGGGGCACTGGTTATGTCTTCAAGGAACTGAAAACCCCTAGGAGGCAGGCTGATACACAACTAGAAAATAATATCAGGGAGTAATTCAGAATGCAATTGCGACTGTTGATTTATAATGAACTGCAAGGTTAGTTCACAGGTTTGAAATAACAGAACTTGGGAAGGTGAACAGTACACCCATTTAATTCAAGTTTCTTTTCCATTTAATGACATCAACTAAAGAGTCTAGAATGTTGGCATAATGCTGATATGCCTACCGCTATAATTATTATACTTATTCCACTTAGCTAAATTATTTACTACTTTTATTTAAATCTGAGTGGCCCTATAAATAAGGCCCCAGGGAAAAAATGCTGGAAGCTACCACTTTACTAGTCTACCCCAGAAAGCAGAACTACAGACACACACACACACACACACACACACACAAAGAACATTTTGAAATAAGATTTTCACTTTGTTATTCTGGCATAAATTAAAAGAACGACTATTTCTAAGTATAAGTGAATATACATGCCAAGAAATCTTTTGCTGGAAGAACTTAGAGGTTTGGAGCAATTTTAGTTTTGAGTGTGCGTGGGAGGACCTTTAGAGCTCATTTTCACAGGCCAATTCATTAAAGCCCCAAACCACAGATTTTAAGTAAAAGTCCCATGTATGAAATCGAGATTGTGGAATTGATTGGGGCTCTGTATTGTAAAATAAAAACGACTTTAAACAAACCCCTAACATTACAAACTGGGCCTTCCAGTGATCTTTGGTAAAAGTCAAACATTTGAAAATTATCATTTTCATTTGAAAATGTTAGGTGTGTAGAATGTGTAACAGCCTCACAAGTTTCTCTCTGAGGAACCACTGCTCCTAATAAGGGTCCTACAGATCTACTTGAGCTATTCTCAAGGTGCTTACTGAGCTACTGACCAGGGCTGACAGATTGGGAATCATCTCAGACAAGCGCAACCAGCAACTAAAAAGAAGAGAGAGAAAAAATCAAGAATCCTGGTGAGATGCTTGGGTGAATCTTTCTCCACTCTTTACATCTTCCAGAAGACATCTTTAAATTATTCTGAAAAACAATAAAAAGGATAGTAGTAACAGGATAAAATCACTCACAATAGTAGAAACTGGACACTAACAATGTGAGGGCATTAAGGAAATAGCAGAATATGCAAAAAAATAATTTTAGTCTTTAGTTCCACTCTTCAAGATTGATATATTTAAATATTTTACACACAGAATGTAAAATATTTTATATACTTAAAATATTAAATATAGAATGCTTATATTTTATATATGTAAAAATGAAATGTATTAAACTTTGCAAAACTGCAGAAATGAAAGCATAGGGCCCACTTAAAGGCAAATGATTACAAACAACCTTCATCTCATCCTTTAAAACACTAAGGTGGAAATGAATTGTGAGATAGAGTTTGATTCTTTACTTTTATGGTCTGTCTTTTGTGGCACATTGTCCTCTGCATTTTGTCTTTGGGGTCCTATCCAGGAGACACAGGTCTCACTACTTGAGGGAGCTGCCTTGCAAAGACTGACTATGACTTGTCACACCGGGAAGAGCAGTGGCTCCTGTGTGTGCTTTGGCCCCTCCTTCATCTTTTCCGGCCCCTTTCCTGACAGGCTCAGGGCTAAGTGACACAGAATTGAAGCCTGTGTGTTTATATGTGCACAAACACCAATAAAGGGACAAGCCAGCCCCAAGGGGAGGAGACCCACCGCAGGGCTGCTATTTAATTCTACAAACACATCAGGCTTAAACTCACCGTCTGCCAGCAAGTCTCTTAGGCCTGCATGTTTTGGGGAGAAACATCTGCAGTCTCGCTTTCTCCTTGCACCATATGCTGTTGCTTCTCTTGGGTTGCAGTGAAATCAGGCTTCACAGGAAGTGCTGCCATCGTCTGTAGACTCTCTGGACTCACTTCCCTCTCTCCCTCCCGTGATAATCCTAATCGGAATTTTTCAGCTGCTCCCGACTCCTGCCTCCCATCGCCACTCCCAGTGGCTGCCTCCTGGCCCTCTGACCCTCCTTCTTGCTCCTGTCCTAGCCCTGAGGTCTTCCCTTCCAGGACTCCTGGAGTGCCCACCCCAGTCTCTGTTGTACATGTCACTGTCATCTCCTCTACTGCAGGCACTTCCTCCCCACTCCGTGCTAATTCCTCTACCACCACCCTCCCTGCAGCTGCTGTTTTTCCTACTAACTCATCCTTTTGGTGCCAGGTTTCTTCCTCAGCAACATCTGAAAAGGAGGAGGCTTTATTTGTTATTGTTTTCTCTTCGGCTGTCTCCGAACCTGCCAACACCTCCCTTTCCTCTGCGGCTGTTTCTGCCATTTCCCTACCTCCATGTAGATCTTCCTCAGCCACAACCCTTCCTCCTCCCATACCCTCATTCTTTTCTGTGTTTCCTCCGCCTTCCATGGCCCCGTCCCCTTCCGAGTTCCTGTCCCACATCGCTTCTGTCCCCAGAGTGCACTCTTTGTCCTCTTCCTTCTCTGGGTCCTCACCCTTTGCTTCCTGCCTGAACTTTTCTGCTGTCGTGGGATCTTCCTCAGGAACAGCTTCCTGGGTCCTTAGCATGACATCCGCTCCTCCCTGTCCTTCAGCCCTCCCCTCCAGTCCTGCACAGGAGTCGTGATCTTTGGCTGCCAGCTCCTCTGCCTGGCCTGTGGCTGGGATCAACCCCTCAGGGGTCTGCACCTTTCCTGCTGGCTCACCTTCAGGAGCTGCCAAGGGCCCCTCTGCATCTTGGCGGGGCCTCTCTTTCAGAGCCCTATTCTCCCTGCTTGACAGCTCTTCTCTGTCTTTGTGCTTTGTGTCTCTGGCTTCGCTCAGTCTTTCTCCTCCTCCTTCTTTCCTCAAAGCTGTTATGTTTTCCAGCGACTTTTCAAATCCAGGCGTTGCTTCAAATATGGGAACCACTGTGTCTTTTAGTGAATCTTCTCCTAGAATCCCTGGATTGTCAGACAACTCAGATGCCTCCACAGGTGCTTCGTTCTCAGCATCAGATCCCATTTCATTTGTGGGGGCTTTTGTCTCTTCCTCAGATCTTACTTCCGTCTCTGTTTTCCCCTCTTCTGCTTTAAGTTTTTGCTCTTCTTTAAAAGCGTCTTCATCCTTGAGTGCATTTACCCTTGTCACCTCTTCTCTCTCAGAGTCAGTTTTCCTCAGAGGTGTTTTTGGCCTCTTAGCTTTCTTTCGCTCTCCTGCTACATCTAATTCCTTGGGTAAAATTTCTTTCCTATCATCTTCCCTATTAGCTTCTGCCTCAGTCACCATCTGTTCCCCTTCCACATCTTCCTGGCAAAGGTCTTCAGGGCTGCCCTCCGAAACCTGCATCCGACTTGCCTCTGCCTCTCCTGTGAAGGGGCTCAAGGCTGTTTCTGTTCTCATAACCTCCTTTCTCTCTTTGGCTGGTTCCTCTCCCCCAAGAATTGCCTCTTCAGAACCATCCTCTCTCTTTGGTGCTGTGTCCTCCATGGGTCCCGTGTCCTCTAGGTCTATGGATGCTTCCTCTTCACTTTCCCCGACATCATTCACAGCCACCCCACCCTCAGCCTCTCCCTCCTCCGATGTCGCTGCCTCTCTTAGGGCTGCTGCCTCCTGAAGATTCTCCGAGTTCAGAGTTGCTGCTTTATTTGCAAGCACCGCCTTCTTCAAACCCTGTTCCCCTTCAAAAGCTGCCTTGTCTGTCTCAAGCACTGTGAGCATCAAAGCCTGCTTTTCGGGAGCCTTATCTTTACTCAGACCCATAGCATCTTTTGCTGCTGCTTGTCCTACGGGATCTGAGCATGCTTCACCCAGCCTTCTGGCCCCTTCTGCTTCTGCTGCTGCCTCTGCCCGCCTTTCTATGCCTGGAGGGATCTCCACTTTTTCTGTAAACTCTTCTGCCAACTCTGACTGCTCTGCTGTTGGCTTCCATGCCCTCAAGGGAGCCTTGTGAACAACTCCTGCTTCTCCCCACAGGGCTGCCTCCCCTTTTCCCTGTACTATGTCAGCATCTCTGTGCTGGGGCCCTTCATCTTCCTCCTTTGCTTCTTTCTTCTCCAGTGTATATGTTTCTTGGGCCAATTGCTGGCATTCCTTGTTTGAGTTAATTGCTGCTGTTTCATCCACCACTAAATTCATTCTTGGCGCTATAAAAATGAGGTTAGAAATCAAGGTTACTTTAATCCAAGTGAACAAGGGAGGAGACACTATAATCTTATATAACACTTCTTTACAGTGTGAGATATTTATATGTGATATCACAAGGCCATTGAATTATATATAAAACACTTTTTCCATTGATTCTAGGAAGCTGACTGTAACATGCACCATGACTTAATAATGGTTTTTCACTATGAAAAGAAATGTCTTCCAATTTAAGGAACACATTGATATTAAAGAAAAGCTGAACATCAGAGATGTTTAACATAAGCAGCAATAAGCAAAAAAATTATCATGTCCCCATGTCTTGGAATCAATAAAATCTCCACCTCACTCTTTCTCTTGGCTTCCTCTTTCTCTCTCTCACATACATACAAGATTCCTTTCTTAGAAATAATAATAAGTGGAATGGAAAAAATTATGCAATAAGAAAAATAATGAGTATTTAGTTTTCAAATAAATTATTGTTTTATTTGTCTCTTTTTCTTTCTTTCTTTTTTTTTTTTTTTCCAGGCAGGGTCTCTCTGTGTCACCCAGGCTGGAGGGCAGTGGTGTGAACATGACCCACTTCAGTCTTGATTTCCTGGTCTCAAAAATCCTCCTGCCTCAGCCCATCGAGTAGCTGGGACCATAGGTGCATGCCACTATGCCAGGCTAATTTTTTTGTTTTGATTTGTTTTGTTTTGTTAGTAGAGACAGGGTCTGTCTATGTTGCCCTGGCTGGTTTCAACTCTTGGGTCTCAAACTCCCAAAGTGTTGGGATTACAGGTGTGAGCCACTGCACCTGGCCCTGAAATCATTATTTTCTGCAGCAGCATAATATGTCTCTTTTCTGCCTATGTTTTCTGGAACTCACATGGGCCTTTAGCAACACAATCATTATACAGTGTGAACTGATGATTCTCACTCCCAGATGATAAGCTACTATATCTAGATTTAGTCATCACAAATTGGTGTCTTTAGTGAAAAGTCTTACCTCTGTAGCTCAAAGTAAGACTTTTTACTAAAGATACCAATTTGCATTACCTCTCACCTATGTTCAGAAGCTAATTTGCCTTTGGTAAAACAGGATCACTGGGACAGTTTTCAGCCTAAATACTCTTCTTGAAATACAAGTTTTCACCCATAATTTCCTGGCAAACCTGGGTGCACAAGCTATCATAGTTCATAGTTCAATAAATATAGGTTTGATATGCTTTTTAATAGCAACAAGTGGATTTTTTTTTATTAAATGAAGTTATATATATTTGCAAGCAAAATAAGTAAAAAAAGGCATGTTATGCCAAACACCTAAAGCATTTCGATTTCCCAACGGCAGAATAGGACTTAGGGAGCTGGAAACTTTGAAAAGGGTCATCTTAATAATTTATATCCATTTAATCTTCTTTTTCATTTATTAAAAAAAACACTAGACTAGATTTTATAAAATTAGTTAACATATCAAGATGTCAAACTCTAAAAAAAAAAAACTTGTAAAGTAGGCAAGTATGATGTGCCTCATTTGTTTTGTACTTGCTTGCCTTCTTGGCTAGCCATCTTACCCCCAACATCATCACCAACAATCTACCAGAAGCCTGAAGTCCTTATCTTACTCACTTCTCTACTTTATACCCCGTCCAAGACTGTCTTACCATTTCATTACCTCTTCTAACACAAAAGATGCTTATCATTTGTTGCGTTTCCTCGGTCTCTTGCCAGCTATTATGATAAACCATTTTGAAGTAAAGCAATAATAGCTGATATTACATTTCCCTTAAAATGTGTTTGGAAGGTCATTTGTGATGTCTCCTTTCAAAGGAGTAAAATAAAAATTTCAGCTCTATCAATAGGGCTGAGGTTGACTTTATAGGTCATCCTCTGCTTATCACAGCAGTTATTTCCTAACTTTTACCTAAAAGCTTCCAAAGTGAAATATAGAATCAAATATTGGTTCACAGAACATGTAGCCAATTCACCTGAGAGAATATGGTCCATTTTATTTCATTACAGATTATTACCGGATTTGAAACAAAATTAAATTGAAACAATAGGAAACAATAATGTGTCAAGTTTCTTTAATAGTGTATCTGCTGCTATTCAAATTCCTGCATGAAAATATATAAAAAAAAGTCCCCTGTTTTTCTAATCTGGTTTCTAAATTTATGGATTAATTAAGGAACATTCAGGGAAACAGGGAAATAAAATTGCCTAGCCACCATGTAGTAATATACTATGCCTAAATTCTAGGAGAGAAAGTGCTAATGGCATCCAGCTGAGATATTATATGAACACACACACACACACACACACACACACATAATAAAGGAGCCAGATATGATGTTTCTCAAGCAAGGGAGAAAGAGTAACTGAAGCTTTTCTAAGAAATATTAGTATAAAAACATGACATGTTTTTTGATGGCAACCCCATGGGCTTTTGAAAAAATATTTAATATGAGAAACAAGTAATATTCACGAACAGTGCCAATTTGATTTAGTGGAATGAGTGTGTACTTGGAAGTCAGACTAACGTGGGTAAAAAACACCAGCTCTGCCATTTACTAATTATACAAACTTGGGAAATAACACCTCTCTAATCTTTCATTTTCTTATCCATGAAATGGGAATAGCAATGCTGTGCTCACAGAATCCTTTGACAGTAAATGAGATAATTTAAGCTTAGCACAGTTCCTGGCATAAAGAAAGCCCTAATAATCTTCCTTGTGCACACCTTTCATTGCTTACAAATAATTAGATTTTCTTGCTTGAATTCCATTTGACCAATAATAACCAGTATCTCTGCATTGAAGAATAAATATGTGGGAAGGTGCACCTGAATTCTTCTAGTTGAATGCCCACTATAAAAGATGTGGGTTCTCTAAGCTCAGGGTCCCTCTGCTGTAACTCAGCCCACTGCACAATCAAGTGTTACCTGCTCCTCTTCATGTTGCCAAGGGAGAATTGGAGCTCAGGGAACCAGCATAAATACAGGTACTCTGGCTACTGCTATTTGCTATGAGCAATAAAGTCCTTTTTCTCTGACCCAGGTGTCTTATGTCTTCTGCCATGATCCATAAAACTGTGGCTGGCTAAGTTATTGCTTGAAAGAAGGGTAAAATCTCAAATGCCTCACAATGCTTGATGACAATTACTAAAATTGAAGGTGGGATAAAGTGACCATATGATGAATAAATGAATATATTTCCCTGCCCCCATACACATAAATATATTCAAATCAGGGCATTTTTAAAAAGTCATTCAATAAATACCAGAAAGCCTAGTGATTTCAAGAACATGGGAAGTTTGACCAGATTTATGTGAGTCATGGTCTGTTGAATCACTCTAATTGGAACTCTTGCAGACAGAATACTTACCACCAAGAGCCAGGTCATAGGCTAATGGAAATGAATCCTTTCCTAGTTAAAAAAAAAAAAAAAAGGAAAGAAAAGTTCAAATGAATCACTGTGAAATGTACCATCGTTCTCCATCTCTCCAGTTGGATCAGTTAAGGCAAATTCACCTAGCTGTTCAACTGTCTGGGAGGCAGGCTATTGAAATAAAACTGATGTGAAAATTCCTACCGGTATTGTATAATCTAACATTCTTTTATTTAATCCTAGACATCAATATATTCAAAAAAGAACAATAAATTTTTATCTGATGTTAGTTGTAAAGCTCCCCTTAGGGCCTTTCAACTACTTCTGGCCATGCTATTCATTAGTTGAAAAGAAAAAAAAAAAGGTGGCAGAAGGAAGAAACAAGAATAAGAAGGGTAGAAACAGGCCATTTTTTGCAGAGGATTTCTGAAGGTCGTTCCTAGGTAATGATGTGCCCTTACCGCCACTTGTGTCAACCTCCAGCTTCCTCGGTGGCTTCCCACCCTCATCTTCACTGCTGACACCAGACTCAGCATCATAGTGGCAGTGGTAGTCCGATGCCAAGACTTCTGCTATTATCTGTCCAGCTTATTGGATGTCACATAGAATATCAAAAGGTATAAAAACAGGTCATGGGAACATTGTTGAGCCATTTCACATCATTTAAACAAGTGGTTCAATTTAAATGCATTTACATTAAAATGTAACCTTGTTTTAAAAATCTCTGAAGCACAAACAACTCCCGAGCTATGATTTCAAAGAGAAAACACAATACACAAGAGAAGATCATGAAGTAAAGAAATCTATGCAGAGAAATACTTGCATTAAAAAAGAAGAGAGCGAGTAGCCAGGAGCAGTGACAGATTTGCCAAATGAACATGCAATGAAATGATTGAAAAAAGCAGTTTAGTTGCATTTTCCCTTCTAGGAATGTGTGCTATGGCTTTTATGACACCAATCATCACTGCTTTTTTAAATTACTAAAACTACTAGAGCTCACTACACTACGAACATTTCATCCATTAGTAGATTTTAGTGATTTGACCCCAATATTCACTCCATGTGGACAGAAGCAAAAAAGCTATTACACAATTCCTATAAATTTGACAGTAAAAGCTATTGTAGAAATTCCTGTTATCTGTAGTTGGTTACTAGCATAGACTTCAGGATCACAGAGACCTAAATTCAATTCTCATATTACATACTAACCATATCACATTGAGCAATTGCTTTGGCCTAAGCCAATGCCTTGGTTTACCCATCTGTCAAAAAGAGTTATCTACTCAATAGTTCTTGAGAGGATTAAATGAAATAATATGGAGAGAGAGCATCTTCATCTTCCACTTACTAGCAAGTGTCTAGGCACTTAATAAATACCAGTGATGATGACGATGATGATGATAATGGGCATTTCTAAGTGTCATCACCCAATGTGGTATGATTCTAGGCCAAAGTGTAAAGTCAATTAAGTTTGTCTTTAGTTTCCGACAATTCCCTTTCTACAACCCTTGCTCATCATCTGATGACCCATATCATAAATCCCATAAATCCTTGATATTACCATTATATCACCTCCTTGTTAACAAGTTATTTCAAATAACACTAGACTTAGATCTGTCTTCTGGGATAAGAACATGGTATTTCTGAAACTAATTTCTTTCCTTTCCTTTCTTCCTTTCTTTCCTTTTCTCCCTTTTTCCTCCCTTTTATCCTTTTTTCCTTTCCTTTCCTTCCTTCCTTCCTTCCTTCGTTCCTTCCTTCCTTCTTTCCTTCCTTCCTTCCTTCTTTCCTTTCCTTCCTTCCTTCATTCTCCCCCGATATTCTGTTACAGCAGATAAAACGACTTTACTTTGAGAAAACAGAACTAGAATGCAGTTTCTTGCTTCTTTTAAGGTGAACTACTAAGGGGTAATTACTTACTGACTCCTCTGTATTTGGAAACAAATAGTGGAATACCTGCCTCAAATCGGTTTTGGAGGGAAAATTGTGACTTAACAATATTAAGAGGACAAACAGAAATGAAAAAGGGGAATAATATAGTTCAAATATATTCTCTTTTAAAAATATTTGAATGTCAGTTTTCCTCATTTATCCAATACAACAAAAGGTTTTAACAATAAGGGTTTAGAGATGATATTGACTCATGACAATGATGTAATAGTTGGATTTGCTATCAAGTTTTCATTTTAGAAACTTGATAAACACAATACATATGAGTCAAATATCATCCTTTCCTTTCTTCCTTTCTTTCCTTTTCTCCCTTTTTCCTTCCTTCTTTCCTTCCTTCCTTCCTTTTCTTCCTTCCAGTATAATGTGAATACTGTATATCTAGAGAGTTCAAATAAACAATGTTTTAGGTTTTGCATATAAATTTATTTGGCAATTACATGAAGCTTTATTCCATCAGTGCTAAGACATCAAAATTTTGTACAAGTAGTCCACAGGGTATAAAAATATAGTCTACAATATTAATAATAAACAATTATGCAATTAGCAGCTACTGAATCAAAAGACTACTATAAGAAGCCAAACGATACTAACATCTTCTGAAAATTAAAACTCCCTCAGAAATGATAGTGAAGCTTGTAGTCCCTCTGTCTCAGGGATGTTATCACCATTTTCCCACGTCTGCTGGCTTGCCCCTGGAGGATTAGCCTTTGGAAGTAGATGAGAGCCTGTATAGTTAGGTGTTGCCTATTTCAGGTTCAGCATGAGTGGAATGCTAGCCTAAGTATCAAGGACTTACTACGTTTGAAACCAGAAAAGGCTTCACTTGGTCATTTTTTCTCAGATGTTCTTCTGAAACTGAAGCTTAAAAGCAAGAACTTGGCTGGTGTCTAACCCCAACTGTTCTCCACCCATAGTAAAAGAGGACTGTGCATACTGAGACTCCCATTTCAGCAATGTGACACAATCACTTTGTTGCCTCTCTCTATTTAGCCCTTCATCCCCTAAGGCTCCTGTCTTTTACCTATGGATAAAGGTGACCACTAGAGGCAAAGGTGATTGTCAGTTCTCACAGCATTAGTTGCAAAATGGAATTGTCACACATAGAAAATTTCTTAGAGAATAAGCTTTTTCTTTTCACTCAGATGATATAATGATACATTAAGGTATTTTTTAAAATATCAAAATATTCTTATATTACAATGTCAGCTTTTTAGTATAAAAACAAATATATTTTAATATGTATTGTATTTTCCCTAAATATAGAGATAGTATTTAGATAGATTATCCAAAGCTTGAAAAAATTAAAGGATACAAAGAAGAAAATAATTACCATAGTTTCACTACTCAGAGAAGGCTGCTAGTTAACATTTTAATAGATTTCCAAGTATTTTTTACTAAATTCTTACTAAAGGTAGCACTTAATATCCAACTTTATTAATTTAGAAATGTATTGTGACTATTTTCCCATATAATTAAATTTAAAAGACTCTTCAGTAACACATAAAACATTCTAATAAAGTCTTACTAAATTTCAGTTCATCAACGTCTATTGTTAAATATTGAGCTATTTCTATTATTCTGTGATTATAAAGCTACTTTAAACACTACTTATAATCATTTTTACACATATTTTTGACTATTCCCTTAGGACACATTCCTAGAATAGGAATTGCCATGAATTTTTAGAAGCTTTTTATACATATTTCTAAATGTTCTTTTAAAAAGGAGGTGGGATGAACAATGTCATCAATAATGACTGAAAGGCCTATGTACCTGCACTATTTTCACAATTTCCACCAATTCTTTCTTTATTTGATATTTTAGTAATTGAAAAGTAGTGGCAAGGATAGAGCTTTCAAGATTAGCAGCAAACTTTCCTTTTGTGAATTTCCTGCTATACAATGTACATTCTTCTGTTATGATGTTTGCCTTTTTATTGATTTGTAAGAACTCTTTATGTATTATAAACATCAATCATTTTTTCCAGCTTTTATTTTAGATTCAGGAAGTACATATGCAGGTTTCTTACATGAGTAAATTACATGTCACTGAGATTTGGTGTGCAAATGATCCCATCACCATGCAGTGAACATAATACCCAATAAGTAGTTTTTCGACCCACGGCCCCCTTTCACTTTCCCCCACCTGGTAGTCCCCAATATTTATTGTTGCCATCTTTATGTGCATACGAACATAAATTTTTTGCATATCCATCTTGCAAAGATTTCCTCCAGAGTTTGTTTTCCTATATAGTCGTGTGTTATTGCTGTTATTGCTGCTGCTATTGCAAAGAATCTCACATTACTCAGTACTATTTCTTCCAAATTAATGAATTGTTTTCAAATCCCAAACTATTATTGTTAGGATTTACAGACATTCTACATCAAATTTTGGATTTAATCTGGCAAAAATTATCATCATCTTTATATTTAGTCTTCTATTCAAATAGTGGGAGTGATTTCCCATTTATCATATTTCTCTTTCATCCTCTTTGTGTGGAATAGCGTGTTTTTCTTATTGTCCATATGTTAAGTTCTTCCTTCTTATAAGTTTCTTAAAGTCTGTTTATGAATACTTCTCCATTGTGGTTTATTACTTTTGTTGTTGTTGTTATAGTTTCAGTGGGGCAGTAGTTTGAGGCTATAGTTAGAAATTGGTCACCTTACAAATACCACTTATTGGCACTAATAATTGCAATTAATTAATTATCCAGTGAATTGTTTTTTTCTCTTAGATCCAAGAATTATTTAGAGTACTGCTTTTAAATTTTCAATTTTTCTGGTGAGAGTTAATTATATTTTGTAAATAATTTATAGTTTTATTGCACTGTTATCATGTAATGTGGATTCAACAAATTCTGCTCTGTGCTGCTATGAAAAAGGGCACATGGAGAATAATAGTTACGTGATAGACCAACCTTCTAAATCACATTAATCATTTTTTCTATGTCCTTATGTATTACAAAAAGGACTGATGTTTATGTTTAAATACAAATGAGAGTTATTCATTTTGTGTTTTCCATTAAGAGAGTGGTTAGCTTCTTGAATGCTCTTAAATCCCACTGGGATGCAGATCTTCCTCACAAATGTTAAGCTGAAGTAGTTTCCAATTCCAATTCAGTGACCCAAGAGCTAAAGGAGAAAGGAAAGGAAAGTGGGGCTTTGAACCTTCTTAGCAGAAATGTAATTCACTGCGTTACTTTTCTATGGTTGCAAGAGCTTCCAGGCTTGGTTACACAGCTACTCTTGACATTGCCATCTTCTTTGTTAGGGAAGTGCCTCTATGAATTCAGGGGAAAAGACCCTCTACCCATCAGTGCAGCTGACTTTTTGTTGGTATTGCCTCACAAACTTTCCTGGGAGGGTGGCAACAGTGAAGAACACCGAACTGTTAGAGGCCAGCATACCGGCTTTCTGCGTCCTCACAGCTCACCCCTGCTTCCAGCCTCTTCTAATCCTTTAAGTCTAGGGTGATTTTTTTTTTTTTAAACTTCTATGAGGACGCTCCTCTTTCTCGTGGGAAACAAACACAAGATAGCTCCTGATGTCTTTCTCTAATTTGCCCTCATGTAGCAAATTCCTTGGATTTTGTGACATTTGGATGGTACCTTCCTCAGATACAAAAACACTTTTTAAAC